TCTCTCTCTCTCTCTCTCTCTCTCTCTCTCTCTCTCTCTCTCTCTCTCTCTCTCTCTCTCTCTCTCTCTCTCTCTCTCTCTCTCTCTCTCTCTCTCTCTCTCTCTCTCTCCTCTCTCTCTCTCTCTCTCTCTCTCCCCTCTTCTCTCTCTCCCCTCTTCTCTCTCTCCCCTCTTCTCTCTCTCTCTCTCCTCCCCTCCCCTCCCTCTCTCTCTTCTCCCCTCCCCTCCCTCTTCCTCTCTCCCCTCCCCTCCCTCTCTCTCCCCTCCCCTCCCTCTCTCCCTCTCCCTCTCTCCCCTTCTCCCCTCCCCTCCCTCTTCTCTCTTCTCCCCTCCCCTCCCTCTCTCTCTCCTCCCCCCCTCCCTCTTCCTTCCCCTCCCCCCTCTTCTCTCCCTCCCCTCCCTCTTCTCTCCCCTCCCCTCCCCTCCCCTCCCCTTCCCCCCCTCCCCTCCTCCCCTCCCTCCCCCCCCCCTCCCTCCCACTCTCCCTTATCCCTCTTTCTTCCCCTTCTTCTCCCTCTCTCTCAGCCAGTAGCATCCTGTATGTAATTTTGGTATTATTTAAGCATATGATGTTCTTCTTTTCAGGCTTCCAACTGGACATCAATCACTAAGATGTAACAGTGATCATGAACATGAAACCGGTAAAGTACTCACCTTCAGTATCAGTAATTTATTTTCCTATGTTCCCATCTCCCAATACACTAGTGCAGTTAGATATATATGGGAGTTCTCAGAAGTGTCCCCTCCATTATGATTGTTATGCTGTGTATTGCAGTAGTAGCACTCTCACTTATTAGCCTTGCTGACCTCTGTTCATTTCCTGCGCACTGCCTGTGGATGGTAATCCTGGCCATTCCTTGCACACAGGGGGTGATTTAGAAGCAAATAAACAGGCAGAATATCACATCAAAGAATATCCATTGTAACAGATGGAATTAAACTAAATTATAATTATTGATATTATTATATTTATTTTTAAGAGATATATAAAGTATATATGTAGGAATCATTTTCATATATTAAATATTCCTGGTTTTCCCTCTTTATAGCAGCTGGATTCTCTGCTTCATATGAAAGTTGATTTAGATTTTTTGTTTTAAAAACCTGAATATATGAGATTTACTTAAAGTTTTGCCCTGCCGTGTGTGATTTTTGTAATAAGATGAGTCTATTGTTTTTGAAACTGAAACTGATCCTGATATTGCCAATCTCTTTGCCTTGTGGTCAGAAAAGGTTATTATGTAAATGTGTCAACTTGCTTTGGTTGATAAAAGCATGCACATTTCTTTGGAATCTTCCCTAAATCCAAAAAAAAATTAGAACACATAAAAGGACCCATATCAACACATCTATGAATACATTAAGAAAATACTTCCAAGAAAGGACACTAATATGATTTCCTCCCCTTTTCAGATTCTTCCAAAAACCTCTGGCGCATGTATCGGCCTGCCGCCGGTCCGAAATGTTCTCACCCAGCCAGGCACGACCATCATCCTTGCATCACTCCCAGGCTCGCACAATGTCCCCCAACCCAACACGTCTGTCCTGTTGCCTTCCACCTCTGCCATCATGCTCAGCGGTCCAGTCGGGCAGCAGCCAGCCTCCTTAATCGTGCCCTTGAAATCGCCAAGCAAGGTGGGACTGGCTCCGGCAACTGGCAGACACCATCCACCCCTGTTGGCACCGAAGTCTGTCTTGCCCAAAGTTGTGAGTGCTTCTGTTTAGTTTTTTTCTTTCTTTCTTTCTATTCATCTTTTCCCTTCTTTCATTTCATCTTCATCTTCATCTTCATCTTCATCTTCATCTTCATCTTCATCATCATCATCTTCATCATCATCATCATCATCATCATCATCATCATCATCATCATCATCATCATCATCATCATCATCATCATCATCATCATCATCATCATCATCATCATCATCATCATCATAATCATCATCATCATCATCATATTGTTATGTCTATAATATTATTGTGTCATTTTATTATTATGATTATTATTAATATGATTATGATTATGATATGATTATTATATTATATTATTATGATTACTATTCTCTGCTTTATGTTATAAAAATTACATTGCCCATTTGCTTTGTTTGTGCATGAAATTAATTGAAGAGTTATGTGATTTAATTCAATACCAATTGCAATATAGCATGGATATTGCCATGATTTTATAACCATTTGTGATGAATTAGAAAGTGCTAAAGGAACCAATACTTAATCTGATGCCGAGTTTGGTTTATGGATTATCTTTATACTTAGATGTCTCCACAAATGCTAATTCACCAATCATCCTGCTATTGGTACAATCTATCTCACATATTTACTTCTTATTTTCGGAAATATTTTCTTGTGTCTTATATTGTTGTCATGTCAATAACATTATGATAATTATGATGTCTGTTACAATAATAACTATCAGTATTGACAGCATTATTGGGAAACAAAATACATTTTTCACAAAAGCTCAAGGAAAAGTGAGGTCAGAAAGGTCTGCTGACTGACTCTTTTAGGCTGTGCGGTTTTGACGCCATAGATGTGCAGAGAATTTTTTTTTTTTTTTTTTTTTTTTTAAGTACAATAAACTATATTTTCCCAGCAAAGTGAGGCTAAAAAAGATGTTTTCTCCACCAGGAACCAGTGAGACCAATCCTTCAGGCAAAAACACCCAAAAAGACAATACAAGGAGAGGAGATGCGGCAGGGAAAGGAAGGGGGTGTGGGCGAGGTGCCAAGAGGATCCAACGTCAAGTCCATCCTGCCCAAGGTCATGCCAGGAGATGCCCACACTCTCATCCTGGTGTCTGCACGGACGCCAGAGCTCCTGCCGTCAACATTCTCTGCAGTCGTGCCTTCAAAAATTACATTGGGAATGAATTTATCCTCCCAAACTCAGACCAGCCCTCAGGAAGGAGGACAGAAGGGAGGCAAGAAGAGGAAAGAGAGGAAAAAGAAGCCAGTCCTGCCAACGCCGCAGCAAGAGAAGGGCGTAGCTAGCATAGGGAAAACTGGAGCCGCGTTGGAAGAGAAACTCACTGCCAGGAGAGAAAGTCAGAGCAAAGTTGTTGAGAAGAAAGCTAGCACTAAGACATTCCCTTCAAGCAGCAATGTAGTATCAAAGAGTTTTATGATGCTAGATGATCTGAAGTCAAAGGGATGTACCACAGCTCGTCCCGCAGCAGCAGCGGACTATATCGTTTCCAGCCAACCAGACTTGTGCTTCCCAAAGCAGAATCTCGTGGACATCCCTCCGCCTCCTTACCCAAAGTCATCCAGAAACCGAAGCATTGACTTAGTCCTCCAGGAAGTAGAGTCACGAGTGCAAGACTGGTGCTCAGAGCTAGAATCTCCGAACCCATCCCAGGGCATCACTAAGGGGCACGAGGAGGGCTTCCAGACCTCTTATGCAGCAC